TTTTTGATCGCATGAATGACTGTAGAGATGACAATTAAAATTGTATTCACGTTAGTTAAATTATCAGCCCCGCTGATTTTCAGAATCACGTGACGCTAAAACAAACAAAATGTTCACAAAATATTAATAGTAGGAAAATACAAGTCAAGAGCTTTCTAAACATATATAGATTGTATGGTTTCTTGTAAAATTTATTCCGATTATAGGTGTTTACATTTTTCATGCAAAAAAACTATCCTGCTACCTTAATTGATTAATCGACATAATTTAATGAATAGCATTCAACATTTGGTTAAAATCAATGTTACTGAATTGTTTTCATATTATCAATCTATTCAACAAATTTACAATAAAGTCCTAAATTATGTAATCTAATGGCACTTCAGATGCTGGAAGTCAATCTTTTTCAATTGACCATTACAACAGCCTTGCCACTTTAAGCAGATGTGGTCTGACAGTGACCAGATGAAAATGTGTAAGCCAAATCTACATACCGGGTACATATAAAGCCACATTTTCATGGCCAGTATGACCCACTTGTGTACTTCAAGCATAGCCACTGCAACCTGAAGACAATCTTGGTAAGGTATTTTTAAGTCCATAGGGAATTGAGTCCCAAGCGACGATAACACATCCTAAAAACGCAAAGGCTGATGGGTCGACGCTCATTTGTAAACAATGACACGCTATCGCCATCTGATGCATGTGCAGGTGACGACTCCCCCTCTTTAAGTTTGTACTAAACCATTGTATTTTCCATGTCTGCCATTCAAAGTTCTTCAGTGCCCAACTCCATACGACTTTCACATCAATTTGTATAAAGTATCCACTTAATTCAGTCAATGTTTCACAATTACCAATGATCATTCAATGGTTGACTTATTACAATGACTTTTTATTTAAATCCTCATCCTCTGCAGTCCCCTTGTGTATAAATAACAATCCAATAACAATCAGAGATGCACCAAACCACCAAACAAGAGATAGTGTCTCTCCAAATAACACCATACCAAGAAAAGCCTGCCAATACAATTGAGATAGTGATTATTCATGTGGGTGTTGAGTATTAAAAAACTGACTTTATTTTTAAAGAAAACTATTATATATACAAATATGTTTTGTGTTCTCCCATTCCAGATTACCCACAGATGTGGTTTTCAGTTAATTTATGAATATTTTAATAAAATTTAGAAACTCAAAATGGTAGTTGAAAACCGTACAACCATGCAGTCACAATAACTGTGAATTTGACATCACTTGTGTGGTGATTTTAATATCGTTTAGGATTGTTTAATCAATCTCCCACTAAGAGAGCAGTACAGAAGAGTGTGTAAATAGCAAATCACAAGCTTGTTTGAATTTGCGTGTACATTCTTAAATATTAACAAAATATTACAGTTAACCACATCTACTAGTTTCTACCCAATTGAAAATGAAAGAATAAATAAAAAACTTACTGAAAAGAAAAAGTTTGAGGCAGTATTAATGACTGTAGCTTCTAGGGATGATGTGCATTTTCTCAATGATTTAACAAACAATGTCCACATCACTGCATTGAAAATAAACACCATACAGAAGGAAATAATTCTCATACTCAGAGCAATCTGAAAAAAAATATGAAACTATATTCCATGCACTCAAGTTATGAACAATTCATAAATGATTTGGCAGTGAATGAACATTTTTTTTTCAAAGCAATATAATATTTTTTGTGAATTGGCAGCAATTTTAGACTATATATAATACAAACAAAATTGTACTGTAAATAACTTTATTTTTGCTTGGAATTAATTTTCGCTATTTTCCCTGAAGGAATGATTCAGTGAACATAAAATCCAGCGAATATACCTTTTTTTCTATATTTTACATTCAACTTGTCAAAAATCAGTGAAAATTATTTCCAGCTAAAAGTATTATACAGTATCATATTGGCACTATATGTATGTAAATTACACAGACATGCTTATGTTCAAAATAAGTGATACGTCTATACATTGCCGGCTGAGACTTCCACAGATACTCAAAACGACTGGTTTAAACCAGTGTCAGCAGGTAAGACTTCCACAGATAGTCAAAACGACTGGTTTAAACCAGTGTCAGCAAGTAAGACTTCCACAGATAGTCAAAACGACTGGTTTAAACCAGTGTCAGCAGGTAAGACTTCCACAGATAGTCAAAACGACTGGTTTAAACCAGTGTCAGCAGGTAAGACTTCCACAGATAGTCAAAACGACTGGTTTAAACCAGTGTCAGCAGGTAAGACTTCCACAGATAGTCAAAACGACTGGTTTAAACCAGTGTCAGCAGGTAAGACTTCCACAGATAGTCAAAACGACTGGTTTAAACCAGTGTCAGCAGGTAAGACTTCCACAGATAGTCAAAACGACTGGTTTAAACCAGTGTCAGCAGGTAAGACTTCCACAGATAGTCAAAACGACTGGTTTAAACCAGTGTCAGCAGGTAAGACTTCCACAGATAGTCAAAACGACTGGTTTAAACCAGTGTCAGCAGGTAAGACTTCCACAGATAGTCAAAACGACTGGTTTAAACCAGTGTCAGCAGGTAAGACTTCCACAGATAGTCAAAACGACTGGTTTAAACCAGTGTCAGCAGGTAAGACTTCCACAGATAGTCAAAACGACTGGTTTAAACCAGTGTCAGCAGGTAATGTGTTGATGATACCATAAATGGAAACTGTTGGATTATATCAAATACAGCAAATGTATTGATAGTTTTCTTTCAAGGAAAATTCTAGTTTCTAGTTTGTAATGACATTGACATATTTGAATTAGTTTTTAGTTTTACACAATTCTAACCTGAACAGATTTCATGGTTTACACGATGTGTCAAGTTTAAATATTGGTTCCATATAATGTATACAATAAATTTGAAATACAATGTACAAATTTTGAACATGTGTTTTGCAAAGACTACTGTTCTTTAGGTTCAGACATGAATACAGGCTTCAGGACTGCATTATATACCAGTAGGCAGCCTAGAATTACTGTGATTTCTGTACTTTGTAGAATTACTGATAAAGCCACAAAATAAGTCAAAGAATTTTGATCTGTGCTACCGCTATGTTAAAACTCATGGAACAGATTCAAGAGTCATGATGTAATAAACACCATGACAACAACATTTCTGAAGTGCCGGCATGGTGATGATGACAACCTGAATTTGAACAGGGGAAATACACTGCTGAAGTGGTGTTATAACTCATCTATGTATTTAACTGCACCCACAACAAATAAAATTTAAAAATTTAATGTAGATTCACACTTAATAAATGAATCCTGCATGTTGCATTGATCCTAGGTTGCATCTGACTATAGCAGGAATTTCAGTGAGATGCATCATAGGATTACTGCCTCATTATAAGGCTTCATTTAATACAAAGGTAGTGGTAGTACAAATGTGTTGTTTTTTCCTTTCTTCACATCTACAAAAGAAAGAGTGCAATGCTATACACACATGGCCATTACAACATCAATTGTATTGATGTGTGATAATGTAACATTAGTCTGGGATCCAGCCATTCATCGTAACCTTCCCAGTAGTTTTTAAAAGCCCATGATAATAGATGGCAGTATACGTTCATAATCATTCAATTGTGGACAATGTATATACAAACATTCAAACATGTATTATAAATATTATTAAACATGTCTTATTTATCGTTGACTGGAAACCCCGGAAAACACTAAACCTGTCGAAAAACACTAAACCTGTCGAAAAACACTAAACCTGAATAAAAACACTAAACCCGAGGTAAAGGGTGTATTATGGGTGTACCATAATCGTCCAGTGAATATTTGATTAAAAGAAAGCGAAAACATGAAACAGAACCCACGACGGCAGCTGATTTTTCAACAGGTTTAGTCTTTTTCAACAGGTTTAGTCTTTTTCAATAGGTTTAGTGTTTTTCAACTGGTTTAGTGTTTTCCGGGGTTTCCACTCAACGCTTATTTATCATTAATACAAACGAACGTAAATTAATCAAGCATGTGACTAAATACTTAAAACTTTGTTTCAAGAAACATGACACATAGACATGTACTTATCATACTTAATTGTATATCACCTCACTATCTCAGGCTAATTTGCCATTTTAAACTGCATTTATCTTAATTTTCTTTAACTTCTATTTTTGATACTGTTTTTTAAAATGATTTGTTAACTTATTATGGTGTAATAAATGAAATTATCATTATTATGTATTAATATTATTTCAACTTGATAATTTAAAATGCATATGTCCAATATTATTAAAATATTATACAGGATCTTTTCACTATTTATCTAGACCGTGTATACCAGTGACAGAATCGATCAAAGAGTCTCTATAGCTACAATGTATACCAACATAATCATGCACAATCAATTTGTTTCTTGCACAAAAAACTTTTACGTATCATATTACCACCACGCATCTCCACTGAATCTAAATAAATTCAAAGAATAACCAAAAAATGAATAATAACTGAAAATACAAACTGAATCACAGTCTGGAATGACAAGTTGCAGAGTGTCATGTTTTCTCTTGACAATATAACAGAGTTCAGCTACAGCTCCTGAATGCATAGCGAGTTTGGCACATGTAGAGGCCAGCGCTGCACAGATGCCCGCTGATAGAGCCAGGCTGAATCCAACCATAGGCATGGTGCACACACAGATGAAATTCGATTCAAAATGTTAATCGAGTCTTGTGTTATTCATAACAACGTATATTTCCTGCCCAAGTCGAATGTTAACTTTATAAAAGAGCGACCTCTATAGTTGCTTTGGAAATGAGCATTATTGATTATTATAGATAGGGATTCTCTGCTTTAACCTTACTTACTTGGTTACTCAGTTAATCATTATGTTTATTGAGAATGGTATATTATACATATATAATATAAATTTAGATTCATGCAGCAATTGGTGTGAAAAAAAAAAAAATCGATATACAAAAATGTACTTATTATTTATTTTCCGGGCCAACATCCCTCAATCCCGAAATGGTATGTTCGACAGAAAGATATCGCGAACAAACACATTGTACAAAATGGCGGAGATCGTAATGAGCGTACGGTCTTACGCAAAAATTATTTTACACGCTGCAAAATACCCACATTGTGCTGTAAACGGCGTTCTTCTAGCGGACAAAAAGAGACTAAAAGAAAATAAAACCATGATATATATCGATGCTATACCACTATTCCACATCGCCCTTGGACTAGCGCCGATGTTGGAAGTGGCTTTGACTAGGGTAAGTACACTGTTAGTCAAAGAATCGAATCATTCATTTGTATACACGTGTTTCGGTGCCCACCATCTTTGGAGACGGGAAAATGGTACATCTTGTTAATTACGACATGTAATATGGGAAAAAACATATTCATTGTTATATTGTTCGGTGTAATAACAGTCCGGCATTATAAACCAATTTACTATTTGTATGATGTCGGTTACTTCTAATAACTTGAATATATCATCAATTAAAATGCAAGAGTTGCAGTGGGTACTGTATATATGGCTATTGAATATGATAGGTTGAATAAGTAGTGATTTCTTTAAAACGTGGTAATGAAATGCATATAACACTATATTATAACAAAAATGTAAACAAAAGGTTCCGGATACATGTGTACTTAAGGTAGCGATTCTGGTTTGAGGGCACTTGGGAGGGAATTTTTTTTTTTTTTTGCTTTTTATTATCCAAAACGTCTTGGCTATAGACTGTTGAAATTTTGTAGAATTGTGAATAGTGGAACATACTCAAAACACGATTTTAAAATATAGATAACAGGTGCAAACATTATCTCTTTTGAATGCTTAGCAAGATTTAGTAAGGCTGTACATAAATAATAAAAGAGAAACATGGTGAAAAAAAGAAATGACGGGATCTCCATATTATGCACTGTATTTAACTTTTTACAAAACGATAATACATTTAAATTTGAAACTGTAACAGCCATTTGAATTATGAGCTTAGCAAACTTCTTACTGAGTGAATTGTTATGCAAATTAGCAATTATCTTAGCTTCTTTTTAGTGCACATTCCAGAACTTTAAAAAAAATAGCTCCTAGACGCTTTGACCTTTTGTTTTGAAATTTTCACAAATGATTGACAATGTGTTTATCTTCAAAACGCTGTCGGGGCATT